GGAAGGGACCCCTAGGGGTCACCCAGCCCAACCCCCCTGCAGGAGCAGGGACACCTTGAACCACATCAGGTTGCTCACAGCCCCATCCAACCTGGCCCAGAATGTTCCCAGGGATGGGGCCTCCACCCCCTCTCTGGGCAACCCCTGCCAGTACTTGGGGTGTGAGGCACTACTGAGAAGTCCTTCTTAGTGTTTTCCCACTCATAGATCCATCTGCCCGATTCTGTCCGTCTTCGCTGCTAACATTAATCTCACCCAGTACCTGCCATGCGTGGCGAGGACAGCTTTGGGCGCAAAGACAGATCCCTCGTTCCCCGAAAGGCGCTGCGGAGCTGCTGGCGTTGCCTCCTCGCCTGTCTCCCGAGCTGCCCTCTGCAGGGACGGCTGAGGCGTTAGGTTCAGGCGTTAACCAAGAAATACGCCTTCAGCTGCTGTGCTCAGGAAAGGATGAAGTCAGAGATGCAAATCCTCGGTGCTCTGCACCCGGCTTCAGCACCGTCTTCTCACAGGCTCGCTTCTCTGCATGCCTGTGATTTTTGGAAACTCAGCCCTGTTCCCACAGGGTCGGGGGAGAAGCTGCTTGCAGAGTAGTTGAGAGCCCAGTCCTAGGAGCCTCTGTAGAAGGGAACGGATTTCCATGAGAATCTCTCCAAGGGGTAGGCCCATAATTCCCAGAGAAGCGAATCGGTGGCTTTTTCCCCCCACAGCTGTCTGTTAAAGGGCCTTTCTCTCTCGCTCGTCTTCTCTTCCCCCCTTCCGCAGGATATTTTTCCAAAACACATTTGGAGTGCGGTTTGTTGATGCAATTAACTTCTCTTCCCTTGCCCCACAGCCAGCAAGCGATGTCACCTGTACTGCCAGTCCAAAGAAACCAGAGACATCGCTTACATGAAGCAGCTGGCGCACGATGGGACTCGCTGCTCCTATAAAGATCCCTACAGCATCTGTGTCCGTGGAGAATGCGTGGTGAGTGGCGGCTTCCCGAGGGCACCACCGCGTGCGGTGCGGAACAGCTCTGCTTAGAACCCATGGGAACAACCCAGCAGGGCAGGGGTAGACTTCGCAGAGCTTTCTAAATCAAATATTTGCAGCATCGTATTCCTCGTAATTCCTGGACACTGCGATTAGATCAGAGCAGTGGCACGGATCCCTGGGAATACGCCACTTCAGATCATCGTTTCATTTGCCTCTTTTGCACTTAGTTGCGTGTCTGAAAAGGATTGTGTCTGGTTTTCCATCTTTCCCATCTTTCTTAGCCTTGAAGTACAGCACAGAAGTACAATATCAAGCAAGAACCCCTTCCTATTTTTCACACAAAACCCATTTATCCAGCACCACACTTGCCAGTAATTTGTGTTTCAGCAAAGCCGATCCGTGCTGGGTGGTGATTTCCTCTGCGCGTTAACTGTGGGATGGCTTCCCACCATAACTAAAGCTGACAACTGATGACAAAGCCTTCTCTTTTTTTTTTTTCCCCCCCCTCTTCCTCCTGCAGAAAGTGGGCTGTGACAAGGAGATTGGCTCCAATAAGGTTGAAGATAAGTGTGGCGTCTGCGGCGGGGATAACTCTCATTGCCGAACCGTGAAGGGAACCTTTACCCGCACTCCCAAAAAGCTTGGTAGGATAGCATTTCCGTGCCTCTGGCTATGGTTTCTGTTGTTTCTGATGTTTCTGTCCTACTTTCCAGCCTGCTTTAAGGTAGCAAAACACAGGTTGCAAGCCGATGTGCAAAAATAGTTTAGTCCCTGTTAAAGAAATGAGGCCTTAAAAGGAGGGTGCTATTTCTGGCCTTCGACGGGCCTCTTGGAAGGAAGCTTGATCAGTCCAGTCTATGGAGAGCACTCACCATGCAGAGCACGTTTTGTTCTCTCTTGTCAATGTTGAAGCCCAGGCAGGCGACGGTTGTGCTCGGGGGGATACAGGGAGGTTGGCTGAACAAAACCCAACCGTTCTCGCCATGAAATGCAGAAGCTGAGCTGCGTTGCCTCGCGTTAAACGCCGCGTGCCTCTCACTGTGGGACAACCAAAGGCAGCATTTTCTCTCCCGTTAAAGATTTTCACAAGTTTTTCCTCTCAAACCTAAATTCGAGAGTTTTAAATGGAAGTCTGAATTCCCGTGCGTATGAAATGAGCATGTGGACCTTCCCATCAAGGTGGTTTTTGATGATGTTTTCTCCCAACTTACAGCCCTTGAGTCAAATAAGCAAATTAAAAATCAGATCAGCTGAACTCTGAACCAAATGGAAAAATGTTTTGGCAGGAATCCTTGTTTCTCACATCCTTTAGGTTGCGTGACTGCGACCTGGTGGAGCCGGCGGCCACGTTCTGCCCGCTCACAACGGAGCGGGACCTGGCCAAAAGGCTCTGCCCGCACGCTGGGGTGTTTTGCAACACGTTTCATGTCAAGAATCTCCTTGGACTTCTTCAGAGCTTTCTGCTCTGTCCGTTCTTTGCTAAGCCAGAGCAGTAGCGTTTTGTACACTTGCTTTGACTATTCTGTATTTTAAGGCTTCCCCATATTGCTTTTTTTTTTTTTTTTATTCAGTCTGGGGAAGCTGCTCAGGGAAGCGTATCCCTGGGACGGCTGGGGGCGGCTGCTGCAGGAATATGTGTCTGGTAGAACCAAGAGCTTTAATACAGAGCGGAGAGGGGCTGAGGGACGGACGATGTGAATATCTGCACTCACAGTTTAGGGGACGGTAATTGCTGCCGTTAAAAGCAGCATTAATAATGGCATTTGGACAGTGAGCAGCCAAACGAAACTTGGACAAAGATAAGTTCATGTGCCGCCGGAAATAAAATACATAAAATATTCTGCTGCAAATACTTACTAATTATTACAAACCAATTGGAAAGGCTTCCTGATTGTAATTATCCCATTACAGCCTTTCTGAAAGGGATGGTTCCCTGGAGGCTGATGGGTGGGCCATGGAGTAATGCAAGAATCGTTCAGACTTTGGGAGCGATGGACTTCAGGGTCTAACTTGAGCCTCATAGATAAGCTTGTGTTTTTTCTGGAGCTGGCAGCTACTGCACTCCTCTTAAAAAACAAACAAAAACCACAAAACAAAAAGCAACAACAACAAAAACCCCCACGTAATCAGCAGAAAGAAGTGGTCGGCCTTCAAAGAGCGTTTCTGATTTTCTCGCTAAGAAAACAATTGGAATTCGGAGGCAGGGAGGATATTCATGTCGCAACGCTGGATCCAGGCCAGTAAGAGCTTTCTGTACTGCGTCCGGTTCCTGTTGCTGACACCAAGAGTCAGTAGCTCCAAGCTCGCAGCCCGCCTACCGCCGAAGCCGGTGGCTTGGCAGGGCAAGTGAGAAGCCAGACGGGGCCAAAATACGCTACTGGCCACCATGTTTGGGCTCTGCATTTCTGCTTGCGGGCCACTGAGAACCAGTGCGCTGCCCGATGGGGCGACGGCCAGCGACTGAGCGCTTGCACAGTGTTTTCCGTGGCTGGGAGATGGTTCAGGGAAGGCTGCTGTTCACAGCCACTGATTTGCAGATGTTTGTGAAACTGGTAGAAGTGTTTGTGGAATTTTATTGATTTACCGTAACTTTGGCAATCTAGCCATTAAGAAGACTAATTGACCTCTTCCAACAGGAAAACATTTAAGCAAGAGGTGCCAAAAAGAACTCAAGTTTCTGGAAAATGAAATCTGCAAGTATCCAACTTAAAATCACCCACCTGAATTTTCACTGCTCTGGCTTTCATTGACTGTTTACATTTGCTAGATGTGTCGAATTCCGCTTTAAATGCGTTTGAACGCATAACGGAATCTATGCTTTACACCTGTAAAGACCATCTGGCTGACAAATGTGGTCAATGAAATACTAAGCCGTGGCTCCCGTAGCACTAATTACAGACCTTCTGTTGAAGGGAAGACGAGAGGAGCATTTACGCTGCCCAAAGGAGCTCGCAATATTTCTCTTTCTGAGACAAAGGACTCTAAAAACACGCTGGGTAAGTTTGGAGTGCTTGCAGGCAGAGAGCATCCGTGGCAACTTGGGAGTCCTTGCTGCAGTTCTTGGCTCCGTTCAGATCTCGGTGGGTAATGCCCGACCAGGCAAAAGCTCTATGTTTCATATGCTCAGAAGGCAATCGATGAAAAGATTGGCCAACGCTGTTGCGCGGTCACTCGTCAGCCATGATTTTACACATTCGTAGCTCTTCTTCCCTTCACGTGGATTCTCCAAGGAGTGCGTCAGGTGCGTGACAAGCTACCGATGCATTCACGAGTCCCCGAATCCCCAGGACAAAACAGAATTACTGAAATGCTGCGTCTCGCGTGTGCCGTGCACAAATTAATAACCCCTCGTCACGCCTACGCTGCTTCTGTAGCAGGGCTGGGTGACTCGGGAAGATTGCGTAGCAGAGGACAAACCAGAGGGAATTTTAGTCGGCTCTTAAAGCAGGGATCTGCAGAGATTTGTCGTAATTAAATCTGCAGCTGTTAAAGAGAAAATAAGGGAGATTTGAAAATACCGCGCACTCAGAGTGCTGATGCTCTTGGTTAAAGCTCGATATAGCAGTAGCTAGGGGGGCTTTCAGTCTTCCTAGTGACGGTCCTTCCTTCACGTTACACCAGTTACCTGGGGTGTGGACTGATAAGTAATTGAAATTTAAACTCATTTTCTTTGGGAACAGCCTTTTACTTGTAGCTGCAGAGAGTTACGTTCAGCCCCACGGCTTCAGCAGCAGCAATTGAGCGATGCCTTTTCCATTCCGAGCTGGGAGTGGTTTGGGGTCACCTCCCGACTGACGAGCCTCTGCGGCTGTAACGCGCTCCGTGCTGCGCCCACCTTTCCCCAGCCTTTGGCATCTCAGAAGCAAGCAGGCACCCTGAAGGCAATAACATCCAACACGACAGTATGTAAACTCAAATCCAGCAGCCTGGCTGACGGGTGATCCAGAAAAAAAAAACCGTCAGGAGGACTTGTGTTTTCCCCCCTTGTTTTCTGAGGAACATAGGAAACATCTTTCTGCCTGAGCTGTTAATTGATAGGGCCCGTAGCAGTGTGGCTAGGCCAGTGACAAATAGGTTTGTGACCGGTTTCTCGCCTCTCTCTGGAAGAGGATGACCAGGCGGAGGTCCTGCCAAGCCCGTCACAAAGCTATTGGCTCGGTTTCTTTCTGACGCTGCTCCCGAGTTGACGATGGATGCGCTCTCCTGCAAGTGGAAGCTGGATCATGTAGCACGCTCCTAACCATGGCTATTACTTTTTCTTCCCACCTCTGCTTTCTCCATTGACTGCTACACATGCCAAAGGGTACCTTAAGATGTTTGACATCCCTCCTGGTGCTCGACATGTGTTTATCCAAGAAGACGAGGCTTCTCCTCACTTTCTTGGTAAGTGTTTCTCTCCTCCGGTTTGGCTTTGAGGCATGATGAGGCACACGGGGCAGTCATGCAGACGAACCTGAGAAACGAGATAACCAAATTGAAGTGTTGTCGGGTAAATACGTGCGTTAAAATTGCATGTAAAGGACGGAGTCCTGCAGCGTAAGCTCAGCACACAAGTATTTACGGCTCATTTGAATGCTTCGGAATATTCACCTGATCCTAATTTGCATGTCTACTAACCAAAGATTGTCATCACGCACATTTAAACGGGCGCCGCCAGGGTAAAAACTACACGTTCTGTCACGTGAGTCAGATGCGGTGCCCTCGCTGCAGGTTGTGAGGAGCAGCTTTCTTAAGGAAAGGCTGGGGAACGTGCCGTGTATCTGCAGTCCGTTCCATTTCGGGGTTTTCTCACCCAGGATGGGTCGCGCTGTCGTCAGGCGGTTTGTGTCTCGCTGCTTACCGTGTTCTAACCCGTGAGGGGTTTTTAGCTCACAGGAGAGGGGTGGGATCTTCCAGGGCTTTTAACGGCCCTTTAATCAGCTCCTCCTGGGCTGGGGCAGTGTCCGAGTTGTGAACCCATCAAGCAGAGGTAGATGAGTTACTAAAAAGAAGCGGGAACAGAAAAGGAGAGAAAAATAGAAGCAGTTTTCAGTTGTGATAATGTCAAAGGGGGAAACTTGACTTTTGAGGTCCAAGAGCTTCCTTTTGGACCACACGTGGCCCGACAGCAACTTCCAGAGGAGCAGAGCTTTGCTTTGGCAGCAAGTGGCTTCACGAAGCTGTCACCAGGTACCGCAGAGCTCCTGCGCCGGCATCCCTGCAGTCAGAGGGATGTGTACGGTTGCCACAAAGGTTTTTATCATGATTTACGGTGCATTGGAAAATGTTGTACAGAAGAAAAAATGAGAGTCCATCTTCCAGATTTCTCATTGGCTTCTAATTGGAGCATCATAGTAATAATAATAATATTTAATAATATTTAATAATAATAATAATCATCATCATCATCCCCACACTGCGTGGCTTTCGAGGTGTGGTGCAGGAAGCCAAACTCAAATCGTTTCCCAGGGGTTCAAATGCCTCAGCTCTTTGCTTACTGATTTTAGCATACGTAAGCAAAAGAAACTAAATTGTGATTATTAAGCGGTCATTTCCATCAGCTGAGGAATATTCTGAATGAGGCATTCCCAGTAATACTGATTCGGGTCTTAAGCAAATGAGGAAGACGAGTGCTTCTGAAGACTTGACCCAAGTCCCTTGCTCCTACTCGTGCTTCTTGGGAGCGAAGCTAGCGTGGGAGCCGTGCACACCACGTAGGAGGAGGTGCTTCGGGCTGTCCCTAGTTCTGTGTCTGTGTCCCTCAGTCACATGGATAAGGAGGTACAAAATTGTAGCAAATACACGGATGCATCTGACATCAAACTGGATGTTGGAGGCTGCATGAGACGGCCTTTGTCAGAGCCACTGCATCTGTAGGACTTGCTGGTGTGTTCATAGAATCACAGAATGGTTTGGGTGGGAAGGGACCCCTAGAGCCCACCCAGCCCACGCCCCCCGCAGGAGCAGGGACACCTCTAACCAGACCAGGTTGCTCACAGCCCCGTCCAACCTGGCCTGGAATGTTCCCAGGGCTGGGGCCTCCACCCCCGCTCGGGGCAACCCCTGCCAGGGTTTCACCACCCTCACTGTAATCAATTTGTTGTGTTGGGTGCTTTTGCAAAAGGCCTTCTATAACATCTTCTGCCAAGTGTCACCTAAGCCACCGTGATCGCTGACGGTACGGCAGGAGGCACGACCGGCGCTGTTTTCAATCCTTTCAGCAATTAAGAACCAGGCTACGGGACACTATATTCTGAACGGGAAAGGGGAGGAGGCCAGATCCCGATCCTTCATCGACCTGGGCGTGGAGTGGGAGTACAACATAGAAGACGACATAGAAACGCTCCACACCGACGGGCCCTTGCACGATGCAGTGGTTGTGCTGGTAGGTTGCGTGCTAAGCCACGGGGACGTGGTGGGTTTGGCTTTTCTAAGAAGCGCGTGGCCGGTGTGGAGCTTGTGCCGAGATCCCGCGCTGCTGCGCAACGCCCCTCAGAAAGGCACGTGCCGCTGAGACGGCCGGGAGCCTGGCGCCCTTTTCTCACGAGCTGTTCCCTCTCACGACGCTGCGCTGATGCAGCGGTAACGTGTCGATCAGAAGCCCAATATTGCACTGTCGGACATCAGCGGGATGCTTTTGGTGGCCCAAAAAGGCATTGCGTGCCAAATCATGCCTGAGAGCAGCCCTACTCCTCAGCCAAGGAAATGATGTGGCCCCACCATCCTTTCCTCCGGGATGATGGCATCCTACTTGGCCGGCTTGGAACGCTAGCCTAGTAACATATCTCATTTTAAATGGCCCGGTGTTGATCTTACTGGTTTTAGTTTTAATGGCAAATACGAAACCCAGGGTTTTTTCCCACTGAGTTAACTCACAGATTCCATGTTTCCCCTACGAGCCCGGCCTTGGTTTCTTTACTTTGCAAAGGAATAAATAATAGTGCTGGCTTTGTACCACGTTTTGCGTTTGCTTATTATTAATAGATCATTCCTCGGGAGAATGACACGAGATCCAGCCTGACTTACAAATACATCATTCATGAGGATTCAGTACCAACTATCAACAGCAACAACGTCCTCCAGGAGGAAATAGATACCTTCGAGTGGGCGCTGAAGAGCTGGTCGCAGTGCTCCAAACCCTGCGGTGGAGGTAAGCAGCTGACGCAGCGCCGGCCAGTGCCAGCCAATGAATGGCCAAAGGTGGAGAGGGGGAAGCAAATGCTGTAGAATCATAGAATCACTTTGGTTGGAAAAGACCTTTAAGATCATCGAGTCCAACCTTTAACCTAACCCTGCCATCCCACCACCAAACCCTGTCCCTAAGCACCTCATCTCTCCTTCTTTTAAATACCTCCAGGGATGGGGACTCGACCACCTGCCTGGGCAGCCCCTTCCAGAGCCTGACAGCCCTTTCGGTGAAGAAGTTTTTCCTAAACCCTGGCCTGCCTTTTTTTAAAAGCAGTTTGTTATTTTGGGTGCCCAAGCTCAAAATATCTTAGGGGCCTGGTTATTCACAAGTGTCGTGCTTCCAGCCTAGAAAGGAAAAGTCCTTTTTAGGTGTTTAAATTCAGTACCCAAAGCCCCTTTGGAAGTACAGGCTCGGACGCGCACTTAGGGCATGCGCGTTAGCCTTAGGCAAAGAACAGGAAACGCAAACGTCGGAAAAGCTTTGACTGGTACGTACAGCTGCGGAGCCGCTGATGCATTCCGGGAGCAAGAACACCAGCGTGAGACTTGGGTCCGTTCCCAGGTTGGGCGCTGAGCTGCTGCTTGCGGAGGAGGAGGAGGCAGCCGCTGCCCTCTCCGTGCCCCGATGTGTGGGTGATGCAGAGGGGGGGCTGCAGGGTTATAACGGCCCCTTCTGGCCTTGAGAACCTGTCGCCGTGTCCTCGTAGAAACAGCATCCCCAGAGCGCCGTGCGGCAATCTCGCGCCTGCCAGCTGAACCAACTCTGAGCGCGTTCAAACGCTTTGTCAACATTCGTCACGTAAAACCATGTAATAGGCCATAAAATGTAGATTTAAAACCAGAAACTCTAACAAGGACCTGTTTTTCCTGATTTTTCCTGACATATTTTCCAGGGTTCCAGTACACCAAATACGGGTGCCGCAGGAAAAGCGATAACAAAATGGTTCATCGCAGCTTCTGTGAAGCCAGCAAAAAGCCCAAGCCCATTCGTAGAATGTGCAACCTTCAAGAGTGCACCCAGCCGCTGTGAGTATGGCTCGCACAGAATCACGGGATCGTTCGGGTTGGCAAAGCCCTTGAAGCTCCCCCAGCCCAACCGTTCCCCTACCCCTGCCATCCCACCCCCAAACCCTGGCCCTCAGCACCGCCCCTGCCCGGCTGTTAAATCCCCCCAGGGGTGGGGACTCGACCCCTTCCCTGGGCAGCCCCTTCCAGCGCCTGACAGCCCCAAGGGGAAGGAATTTTGCCTAAGACAGATAAAGATAGAAGTGGTTGTGCCTTGTGGTAAGCGTGGGAGTTGACCCAAGCCAAATTTGGTAGGATGCTGCCAGCTTTCTAGATTGGAGCTCCTGTGTTAGGGATGGTTTTTCCTACCTGTATAAGAATGGTGACTGACGGTTTCATCACAAAAACACTGCATGCTGACCTGGCAGCAGTATGGATCGGAGGTAAGAGTTGTGATGGTATCTTATTCCTTCTTACTTCCCAGCTGGGCCGCAGATGAGTGGGAATACTGCACAAAAACCTGTGGGAATTCCGGCTACCAGATCCGCACTGTGCGTTGCATCCAGCCCCTTCATGATGGCGCGAACCGCTCCGTCCATTCCAAGTACTGCAGCGGAGACCGCCCCGAGAGCCGCAGGCCGTGCAACCGCGTGCCCTGCCCTGCGCAGTGGAAAGCTGGACCTTGGTCCGAGGTAGGCAAGCAGCGGTCGTGAGCCACGTGCCTTGGCTAGCGCCTCCGGCCACCGAGGGCACATCGGTGCCTGGGCCCAAAGCTCTGGGCTGCACTGGGTGGTTTCCCAAAACCTGAAAATCCCCAGCAGATGATGCCGTCGGCTTCAGGGGCTGCTGTAGCTCCCCAGGCTTGTCCAGAAGCCAGCAAGGAAAACATTCATAGTATCAGATACGCAATGCTGCAAAACAGATATTGCAGCCTTGCTTGTTTGTCTCCGGAGTTCAGCTCTCGCTTCCCCGCTCCTGAGGATAGCGTGACGTTCCGTACCAACCTGGACTATTTTGGAATCGCAGCGTTCCTGCGAGCGTTGGTGTTTTTATAACGGCTTAGGAGCCAACAGCCGAACCCTGCAGCTCGCCCAGCCAACACTGAGTTTCCGCTGTCCTTTGTGTTCTCTTTACACTACGTTGCTGAGGTCAGGTATCGCCTACAGGAAGAATGAGCAGCAAAATTCATAATATGCTCAAATAGTAAATTTAATGTTATGGAAAGCAGGAATCAAGGAAAATACCATCCTTCTCCTCGGCTACTTTTCCATAACATCAGCCTTCGCCAAAGCCTACTTTCCAAAGCAATTGCTGGAATGTGTAGCCTGACCCGAAAGCCACCCTTGGGCTATTTTAGACGCTCGAGTTTCTGCGCATTGCTGTGAAAGCCGAACGTCCTGAATTGTCCTGTGTCTGTTTTGTAGTGCTCTGTGACCTGCGGGGAGGGAACCGAGACCCGGCAGATCCTGTGCCGTGCTGGCGACCAGTGCGATGGAGAAAAGCCAGAATCGGCGAGGGTCTGTAAGCTCGCCCCCTGTAACGGTAAGAGAACCAATTTCATTCTCGAGCAAACTCCAGCGACAAATAAACGACCGCGTTTCGGTGTAAAAACAAGCTGAGCTTTCTGTGAGCGTTCTGCATTAGCGCATGCGGGTTTCTAAGAGAAGGCAGAGCCCATGCCAGTGAGCAGGCAGCGTGCACACCTCTGCCGTACCCTCACGACACTGCACCGCCCGGTGACAACCACACAGCACCGTTCCTCTCTGGCAGGCTAGGAAATAGACCCTTCCTTGGAGATGGTCCCGCTTTTTCCAGCGGCAGGCGCCCCGTCGGGTACCCCAGCCCGTTACTTGCCCCTCCAGGTGACGGGTGTGTCTCGCTTGTGAGGGTGCTGGAACAGGCGGGTGAAGGGTGGTAGCCTAAGTTGCATTTGCAAAAGCTTGTGCGAGAGGTGAAGGTTAAGCCTAAGTAAACCCTGCTCGAGCTCTAAGTCCCAGCTTAAATTTTTAAGCCTGCCAGTTGAAGCACTGAAAAAAAACCAAAAATGGAACCATTTATAATAGGGTTCCTGGGAATCTCATTGCATTGTTCTCATCGACATTTTTGAACAGATTTTTAAGGTTTTTATGACAACAAAGCATTTCTTCCTTTGGGTCCATGAGTTCGTAAGATTTGGGGTTTATTCGTTCCTTAAATCCCTCGTGGTAGTCCCAACACCCAGACTGTGAGCTGGTAGGAAAATCAGAGTAAGAGTTCACAGGAGGTGCCGTGTGTCTTCCCACCGAGTGAGTGTGACTGCGGCCCCGCGGCTGGCCGAGGTGCCTGCTTTGCTCTGGTTTGTCTTCTGCCGGTGAAAGAACCCGGAGCAGAAAATTCTGGGAGCAACGAAGGGTCATAAAGCATTGTATCCGCTAGGTGGGAGCAGATGGCTGTCTGTGACTCCATTAACAAGTACAGGGTTTAAAAGCCTGGTTTCCACTGGTGATAGAAGTATTTCCCAAGCTGAAAGAAGTAAGGGCTGCATCTTTGCAAAGCTATTCAAACAGTTTTGATCTTGTGCTTGAAGCATTGCCTTGAAGCATCTGTGCTTCAGGCATCAGTTGGGATGTTCTTGAGTAGCCAGAGTTAAATTCCTGCCTTCCAAAAGGAAGCAGCACACAATCTTTTTCCTCCCCATGAGCGTGCTACGTCTTTCTCACCGTAGGAATGCTCAGAGCAGGCGCCACTGGCCCCTCAGAGCTAGGATCCGCTTAGGTGGGCTAGGAGCAGTAGATGGCCTCGTACGGGCCCTTGGCAAACGGCAGTTGATTGGCATTGGCTGGTACGCGCTGTATTTTAGGGGTTTGGATGTTCAGTGCGTGCCCCGTCTCGCACACCCCAGTGAACGAAGGGTTTCCCGGGTCACGTGCAGGAGGGTGCCTACCCGGGTTCCGAAACCCTGGGTACGTGTCCTAAAGAGAGCGGACACGGCGACGCACCGCAACAGCGACAAACGTGAGCTAACGGCCACCGGTGTGTCTGGCCTTGATGCAGCAAACCTGCAGCACGACCCGAGCTTTAGGAAACGGCTGTGAGCCACGGGGGCATGGACGGGTACATCCAGCCGAGTCCCCCGGGCCTCTGGCAACCCCACGGCGGCCCCGTGGGCTCTGCGCATCACCCGCCTCCTCTGCAGGAGCTCCCCACCCCGCGCAGGGGTCTGGGCCGTCACTTTTCCCAGGCAAGTAGGTAGCTGGCAGCTCCAGACCAACTCACCTCTCTCTTCCGCCAGGCTTCTCTGACGGGGTTTCTACCGCGTTCTGTGTTTCGGGGGAATACAGCTCAAATACCGATGGTACACGGTAATATTTATGTGGCTAAAGTCTCCGTGCATGGCCATGCCTGGCATTCCTTTACTTCTAAATCCATATAGCCTTGACTACTATTTTGATTTTCAGGGCTTTAGACTTAGCAGAACATTACTCTGTGTCAGGCAGTTTGGACAAACGATTTGCTACCTCCATGCAGGATTGCCAAGAGGTTAATCTTCATGGGGTTGTCACGAACTTTTGCTGCGGGTGGCGTGGTTTCTGTTGTGCCATGCAGCAGGTTAGCATTTCTCTTCCACTTCATGAACAAAAATGTGTCCGCATATGGGAGAAGAGCCACAAGCTCTTCCACCATGTGCCTCAGCGGAGGCGAGTCTCGTAGCATGGAAAAAGGAGGACACCTCCCTTAGACACCTCGCTTCAACTTCATATGTCTGTGATTAGAAGGAAACAGGAGGCAGGATTTTATCCTGCGGGTCCATAGCAGTATTCTGAGCAGCAGTCGTCTTTCTGTGGCTGTGCCAGGGTAGAAGGACGGATCTGGGGGTACGTAGACAAACAGGCGAGCTCCAGGGAAGAACCTGCATAGAACAGGCCCTTGAGAAGTCTTTACACGAGCTGTCCCTGCTGTGCCACGCAAGGTACAGAGCAAAGAAGAAAGCACACGTTCTTTTAAATTTTGGTCCCCAAATACCGACTGCCGGCGAGATTTCTCAGCGGGACGCTGTCGGCAAGCGACGTCCTCAGAGTTCCAGGGGACGCTGTCGGCAAGCGACCTCCTCAGAGTTCCTCAGGGTTCACCTGCTGGGGTGCCCTCCCTCCTTACTCCGCCGGGTGTTCGTGCTGCCACGGCACCTGATATTCCCAACTCGGCAGATAAGTCACAGTGGAAGTGAGCGGTAGGAGGAGTTGGACACAGGGAGGAGAATAACGAGGAAGCATTAAGTCTCCTCATTTTAAAATGTGCAAATAGCACGGCTCCTTTGAAATGCCCGGAGCCAACCTCCTGTCCTCTTGACACGGCTCTGCTCGGCTACTACCTGGGAATTTGACTACTTCTGTGAAACGAGAGTGAAGTTTTAATTTAAACCCCCCTTCCCATACAGAATTCCAAGCTACCCAGGGCGCTTGTACCTCAACATAGTCAGCACCGCAGACTGCAAGGTGGAGACCAGAACTTCTCAGCAGTGCCACCCATTCGGGGGTGCTAGAGACCCCCAGCGTTTGGCCCAGCCCTGGTGGCAGTAAAACGTAGGACTTGGCCTTGGAGCTCGCGTGACAGTCTGAAGGAGCCCAGCTCCTGGTGCGCTCTCAGCTCAATATCAAAGCCTTATTTTCCTCCTGACTTCTCCCATTCCTGC